GAGAGAGAGAGGGTTTTTTTATATATATATATATATATATATATATATATATATATATATATATATATATATATATATATATATATATATATATATATACATACACACACACAAATAAGTAATTTATGTAAACTAAGTTTAGATGAGATTTAAGTGATAAGTAAATATTATCTAACCAAATTTTGAGTGTAACTGAGCTGGTGTGGCTGTATTGGTTTTAACTTTCAGTGTAGATAAACCCTTCATAAACTTTGAGTTGTATAAAGTTAGAAAAATGTTATAGTTAGCTCATTTATGGAATATCATTTGAGTGTCTTAAACTTTATTTGTTGTGAGTTTTCCCCTTACTTTGAGTTACAGTTAAAACCACAAACTATTTGCAACATCTAAACTAAAATTTAAACTAAAACCAAACATTTTAAAACTATTTAACTGACATTTCAGTGGTTTTTAGTTTTAAATTTAAGTCATTTTGATTGAAAGGTATTTAAATGTTAAATTTAGACAAACCTGAACAAATTCCCAGAATTAAACTCTTTGTTTGAGCTGCTTATGATTTTTTCTGGTGCCAATAAAAAGGATTGTTTATGTTTGATTCAACATGGTGACAAGATAAAAGGGGAGTATTATTAGCACGACAGAACTGAAAGGGAACACAATGTGAGCGAAGGTGATGACAAGAGAGAAAAATGGAAAATAAAAACAAAGTGGGAGGACATTCGTGGGAGGAATAAGAAAAAGGTACAGTCCAGGAGGGATTTAAAGAACTGAAACAAAAGAAAAAATATATAACCGCAAAGAATACAGAAAAAAGGACTGGATAAAGAGGAGGATGAAGAAATAAATGAGAAAAGAGGCAAACATTTCACTGGTCTGAAGGTGGAGAATGGTAAAATATTACAAATTAAAAACCGTAACGATGTTTTTTCTGTCAGAAGCAGCAGCGCTGTAGAGTGGGCGGATTGAGGGAACAATTCCTCCTAAATGTTCTCCTGAGAGGAGGTGACAGAAAATGAAAGGCAGAGGAAGGTGTGGCACTCGTCTTGATGGACAGGTGGAAGTCGGAGGAGGGGAAAATAAAATAGCGGGATTATCCGAGACTGGCAGGGAATGAGAAGCACTTTCATCCATAGGATCAAACTCTGACACACCAACATCGTCTTGTTAGATGCAAATGAGGAAAATAAGAAAACATCTGCAGCTGCAGGGAAAAGTGAAACCGACTCCTGCAGAAGTGACTGACAGAACAAGAAATGAACTAAATGCACTTTGTGAGGGTAGTGGATAAGGTAAATCCTTGATTGACACGTATCACCTCTCACCTTTCTGCAGCTATAATGAAGAGACTACAGCTTAGGAGGTAAAACTCATCATCGCCGCGCCCATATGGGGCCCAGCGGCTGGGAAACGGAAAATAAAACCTGGTCAGAGTTGTGAAATCTCTGAGTTCAGGAAAATAACAGCAACAGTTTCAATCTGGGAATGAGAACATGGCCAGAATACATAAATACAGTCATGAATAATCCAACTGGGCGCCCATTTTCTAAGCCTGACTTCCCCATCAAATCATCTGGGTTATGGTGGCTGAACAGGTCCACTTATATTTCTATTTACTTTTTCCACTACCACCCTCCCAGCACACCCACAATTTTCCACTCCATGATCCGGACAAATCTAACGCTGATTGGATTGACTGCGATCCAATCAAATATGGAACCCCAAAGTGACCGGATTTAAGGTCTGAACACGAGCAGAAGCACTCAGCGCCTAAATGCATCCGCTCACAGAGGCTCAGTCAAGCGGGAACCAACACACTCTCACCCTCATTGTCCGTCTCCGTATGAGTGCATTGTGGGAACTCTGCCGTCTGAAGGAGGATATTGCTGGCTAACTCACCGGGCATTGCTCTCCGCGCACCGAGTTACCGTGGTTACGGCGGTGGAAAATTAAAACGGGTCTCACAGGGGTTTAAATTATGATGGAAATTCAAAAAGCCAAGTTAGAGCTTTGAAATACTTATGAGGAGGAGACAGGTGGGGGAGTTAGTATCAGTGGATGGTGAAATTAATGGATTGAGAAAAGGGCAGCACAAGAAAAAATTCTGTTTTTTCCCTAAAACTGAAGTTTTAGAAAAGTATAATTACTTTCTAATTATATTTGTGAGCCATAACCTCATGTGGGTGTGGCAAAGACACTCCTAAAAACTGATAATATGACAACTTTTAATGAGGCTTTTAAAGCCTTGAAACTGCATAGTAAGTTGTTTTTCTAAAAAAACAAAATACATTTAATAAAGTTGTAGAAGCTGCTTCTATGTAAAACTACAAAACACCATTTAAAACAGGTTTTTTCTGGAAGTTGCCATTTTCAGTTGGGAATAATTCGAATTCTTGGGACATATTAGCATTAAACTTAAGAAATATTACATCATCAAACAGTTTTATCACTTATGCTATTAGATAATAATTGTACTGATGTCTTGAATAATTTTTAAAATAATGTTTTTCCATGAATTTTTTTCTTATTTTATTAAAAATGTTTATTGTAAATGACACTACTTTTACCTATACTTTGAAATGATCATAAATCATTCATCGTAATTTTTTTAATTCTTTCCATCAACCTGCTGGGAACTAAAGATGAAAATTAGCCAAAATCTGGTTTAGGTTATGCATTCATTATCTTCCTTATACAATAAATAAATTCAAGATCCAAGATGGGGAGAATTGTGATTAGATGTGTTTTCTTAGTTTCCTGTTCTTTTATTGTCTTATAAAAGGAATTGCATTTTTTTTTGTTATTTTCAAGTCTGTAAAATTTAAAAAAAATATTTCTTTAAGTTGTCTTTTCATACCTTCATTTAACCAGTAAAATAAAAAAATGCACGCTCACTATGAGGCATTGCTGCAGAGTTAATTAATCAATTTAATCAGCTATCTAATGCTGCTAGATGCTCAATAAGGAGGAGTGATTGTTGCAAAGTTAATGACTTGATAACATCAGATGGATTTCCTTTGGTAGAAAACCTTTTTCAACTTGAACAATAAACTGACCTCAGCTGCAGATTTTTTTCTAGGATTTAATCAGAATGCATGTAACTGACAGTGAAACCATTGAAATAACTGCCTGTGTGTACAAACTGGGTGATTTTTTAAAAGTGCTTTGAGACAAATTTTTGCTGTAACTCAGCACCGTATGAGTAACCTCACCTGATTTCAAACTGAAGGATTTCTCATTTTGTTTCTTATTCATAAAAGACTAAAGAAAAAGAATAACTATGAAAGTTGCTTTTCAATCTTGTTGACTATTTTACAGTTTGCACAACAATATATTGAGAGTGAAGCTTAAACAATTTTCTAAACATTTAGAGATACATCCATTCCCTCTCTTGAGAAATTATTTGATAATCAGCTAATATCAGAAAATATATCGGTCTGAAATGTTTTGACAGCATGTGAGTTAATCCTGCTAGTTAAAATGTTAACTCTACAGCAGTAATCATGAACCTTAGTGCTGCTAGTGCTTAAACATTATACCACCATAGTATTCATCTGGAGCTAATGCTAAAACGCTAAATTCATCAATGTTGGCACCCCTAAGAGCTGACGACACAACCTGACCTACAACATAATACATCAACTTCAACAGAATCAAATTTGCTATTGCATACCTGCCTGTATGGTTGTGCATCAGGAAGTGATTCTTTGGAACTGATTTTTTGTTCCTGTTTCCAGTTTTACAGTGTAGTGTTGCGAACTCTCTTGCTATTTTTGCCTAACTGACCCAATAGGGCTTCTGTCAAAAAGCAGGTAGAACATCTATAGATTTCAAACTGTTTACTGGAAAACTACAGCTTGCCGTTATACAGCGTTGCATTCTGGGTACGAAATAAAATGTTCTAAACTGCACCATGGGTGGAGAACACGAGGAAACTGAACCTCAAAATAGGAGTATGAATATAATCGTCAAAACTTCAACACAGATGGTGAACTTTATTCATCTGAAATTTTTCAAAACAACATGGTAAATTAGCGCTTTGCAAATAATACGGAAAAATTAATTTAGGGGAAGCTAATTATGCTAAATGTTTTCAAAGTTTACAGCAATGCTAAAGAACTGAACAAACAATTAGCCCTGCTATTAGCACATAAGCAGATTAGCGGAAGTGCGTCCACCGCTGAACTCAAGTTCTCCACATTTTTATGTTTTGGTCTGAATTATAAACAAAATTTCCCAATTAAATGACAAATTTGTTTTAAATCTCGCAAGGAAAAGTAGGGCCTCAATTCTCAGTTTACCTCTGAATCCAACAAGTCCAGACTCACCCCATTGGCTCTGCTCATAGCCTGGAAGTAGATGCTGTAGCTCTTGGCCGGGGACAGCGGAGGGTTCCAGAAGCCGCCGTAGCTCTTGTTGTCTCCCACTGTGAATGGCTGAACCACCGTGAGGCTGGACGGTGGGAGGTCAGCAGCCATGTAGTACGCAGAGTTGAGGATGGAGGCGTTGCGGAAGCTGAACGGGGCAGAAAAGCACTCCGGAGCTTCAGAGGCGGCACGCCGACTTTTAGACTTCCTCTCTTCCTTCACAACAAGCTGGTAGGAGCTGGACAATAAAGAGACGGTTGCAGGTTCACGTTTCTACAAATGTTTCAACAAATCAGTCAGCAAATCATTACTCTAATGTATTAGTAATGACAAAACTACTCTTGCAGTCTGAATTTCTTCAAAATTTCCTCTCTAAGCAGTTATTTTGTCATTCCTTAAAGAGAGGTGAAAACCCATAGTTATTAACTGTTTTTGTTTAACTTTGTCTTTTCTTACATTTTTTGGGAGTTTCCATTTTGAGAGGGATGTGTTTTTGTATTGGACCTTACAGATGACCTGTTATGACTAGAATATATCTATAGGTGATACAAACATGTTCATTACATTTTTTGTGCATAATCGTTCTTAGGTATTGAGATTTGAATCTGATCAGTTCCTCCTATTATGAAGTCCTTTCAGAACGAACCGTTTTAGGGCCTCTGTCACTTTAAATCCAAATAAGCTGCTCAACATTTACATTCATACACGAAAATGATTTCAAACAGATGCGCAATTATATACCTATACATCTTTGAAAAGCAGAAGTGGGGCCTCCTGCACAACCAACAAGAATGCAGAAAGTGGTTTCTGGATATTAATATAGATATTCACTGCTAGAAGCTCACCTTTGAATTTCCTAACAAAAAATTAGGTCCAACATGCTTTGTAGAGATTGAGAAAGTTATGGATAGAAAGCAGGTTTGGTCAGCTAATGAACAGTAATGGATGTGTGTGCATGCTAACAGGTGTGCATGTACTTGTATGTGGTTCAGCAGGTGTGCTTGTGTGTATCTGAACAGTTGTAGTGATGTTTCTACTCTCAAATGTGTTTCGGTCTGTGTGTGTGTGTGTGTGTGTTTTCATTGTGCTCTGAGAGGCCCCTATGAATGGTTGAGGGGCTCCTTCAGCAGTCAGGACAAATGCAGCGGCCCCCTGCAATTACTTCCAGCCTCCACGCCAAGAACTCACTTCACAATTATACACAATTAGGGAAATGTATGTTTCTGTGAAGGGGCCGCGGCCAATTATCCCCAGCTCCCGTTTGGCAGCTTTCATAAAAATAATTGCTGATGACCAAAGATGAGTCTCTCCTGATGTCACGTTCTGTACCCTTTTTACCGTTCTGGCTGAATATCCATTTCAAATTAAACCCTTTTAGAGGCTGCACAAAATATGAAGAAGGACAGAAGAGGAAGCAGGTAGTAAATTCACTCAGAGAGAGGAAAGAGAGAGAGAGAGAAAATTCATATTACTTTATAGTTGCAGATTTGTTTTGTAGGAAAGTAACTTCAGATTATTCATCTAAAATTTACCTACTCAATTTTAAAAATGTTCTAAAGAAACTTAACTCAGATGCAATGCTACTTGAAAAGCGATTTGCCGTGTCTTGCTAATTAAGCAAATAAAGTATATTAAAATATGCACTTATGAACAGTGGTGGAGAAAGTACTCAAAAAATGTACTTAAGTAAAAGTACAAATACACAGGC